CCCTAACACAGGACCTGTGCACAGACACGGACACACAGGCGATAACAATGAAGAAAGACCCTAACACAGGACCTGTGCACAGACACGGACACACAGGCGATAACAATGAAGAAAGACCCTAACACAGGACCTGTGCACAGACACGGACACACAGGCGATAACAATGAAGAAAGACCCTAACACAGGACCTGTGCACAGACACGGACACACAGGCGATAACAATGAAGAAAGACCCTAACACAAGACCTGTGCAGAGACACAGACACATAGGCGACTGTCAGTGTGAACAAGAAGAGTTTATTTCTGCTCAGAAACTAGTTTGAATCTTAAAAGCTAGCCAGCGAGGCCTGTAGTCATGTGGTTCTGGGGTCGACCTCAGCATCCCCATTATGCACCTCTGGGGTGAACCCCAGCATCCCGTCATGCACCTTGATTCAAACCACCTTGTTCCAGTGTTTCATCTCATCCTACTATTTCCTCTCCGGTCCAGGGAGACAAGGATCTTGCCCAGGGCCTCGGAAATCTGCCTTCTGTTCTACAGGCTCAGTGGGAACAGAACAAGAAATGGCTAACCCAGAGGAAGCCATATTCACTCTCTAAATCCTTAGAAACGAAATCCCATTTTCAGATAAACAACTTATTTTATATTATAAAGGATCTCTTTCTTTTAAAAAAAATCTTTATTTCTTTATGTGTGTGTACCACATGCATGCAGGAACCCACAGAGGCCAGAGGGCATAAGGTCCCATGGAACTGGAGTTACAGGCAGTTATGGGTCACCGGATGTGGGTTCTAAGGGCTGAACCTAGACTTTCGGCAAGTGCATTAAGGGTTTTTTCTTCCTTCCTTCCTTCCTTCCTTCCTTCCTTCCTTCCTTTCTTTTTTTGTTCTTCTTTTGGTTTTTCGAGACAGGGTTTCTTTGTAGTTTTGGAGCCTGTCCTAGAACTAGCTCTTGTAGACCAGGCTGGCGTCGAGCTCAGAGAGATCCGCCTGCCTCTGCCTCCCGAGTGCTGGAGCTAAAAACATGCACCACCACCACCCGGCGTCACTAAGGTTCTTAACTGTTGAGCTGTCTCTCTGGGCCCAGCAACACCTTTTTAAATAAAAGCGAGTCCCGAACATTATTTGGACGATAGTAAAACCTTTAATCCCAGCACTCAGGAGACAGAGGCAGATGGAGAAGAGGTGGTGCAGAGGCGGGAATCCAGGCTTCGGGTAGGCAGGGAAGAGTGCTCCCACTCACCCTTATCCCCAGGGCTACGAATATTATCTCCCCCAAAGGGTTCACAAATGTTACTTTTCCTAAGTTATCAGGCCAAGTAAACCTTGGCCCCGCTGGTCCCCGACGCTCCTAGATCTGCACCCGATTCTTCATGTCCTCTGGGAGGGTCCCTGGCACCTACAAGGCCTGTGCGCCTGCGCATACCGCTTAGTGGGCCGCCCGGATGGGGGGGGGGGGTCGTGGTGTGGTGCGCACGCGCGCGCAGGTGCGCGCGGTCAGAGTGCGGGAAGTCCGGCTGTGTCCGCCATCATGACGTTCGTGCCCACGGGGCCTGAGGCCTCGTTCTTCGACGCCCTGGATAGGCACCGGGCTTCCTTGCTGGCCATGGTGAAGCAAGGCGCAGGGAAGACCCCTGCCGGGGTGACCCGCGTGGTTTCTAGGTACAGCCGCTTGGCAGGCGAGGGCAGGCCCGGAAGGTGGCCGAGGGGAAGGAGAATGCCGGCGCCCACGCTAGACATGGCCCTCCACAGGGCTCCCTGCCGTTAGCGCTCATCTCGAGTTCCAAAAAACCCAGTGAACACGTCCGTATGCACACCGGCTGTTTTCTAGAATGTTCCAGCAGCCTCTAGCCTAGTTCCCAGGTTTCTCAATACCCATTCTAGTCAGAGAGGCTGAGATCTTATTTGGCTTTATGTTTTATCTTTGGGGATTTTGGATGAGGAATAAGAAGAGGGAGGAGAAAAATGCAGAAGCGTATGATCTCTACATTAGTGGGTTTCTCAGCTAGGGCAAAGAATCAATATGTTAAGTGGTTTACAACCGTCATTTTTCTTGACCTGGAGGGAACAGATGAACGGGTTTTAAGGGTTTTATTTAAAATCAGCGGCTCCTTCAGCACCCGAGGTGGCCTTAAGTGCAGAAAGTGCGGTTCTAGGGCTCACAGCTTTCCTGTCCTTTCTCCCCACTGCCATCGCTTTGCATCTTAGACACATTACTTTTGTTTTTAAGCCCAAACCAGCTGCCCCAAACCCCACAAGCAGACAAATTTTACAAAAGGAATTAGTTTGTGGGGGAATTTAGGAGATTGTGGGAATCCTTATTGACAACAAAGATGTGGATTAATCTCATTATACCTTAAATTTGTTTTCAATATTTTCCTCAAACTGTTCCAAGCTTTGAAAAAAAAAATAGCTGTTTTAAAATCTATTTTATGATCTATTTTTCTTTTCAGTGAAAACATTGAAGACTGTGTGGACATTAAAACTCAACATTTTGCCCATCTTCTATGTTTAACTTGGTTTCTCTTCCTAGACAATATGCCAGTGTTACTTAGAACAACATGTTTGAAGCTGATGGTCTGTGAAATTAACAGCCAGCTGACAGAAAACTGGGTTCAGTCTTGATATTTTGTGGTAACGTGGCATGATTTAAGTGGCCAAGTCAACCATTTAGTACAGAACTCACAATTTATTCCTTTCTTGGTTGTGATTGAATTCTTTCCTTTTGAATCACTAAAATTTAAAAATGGTTAATTTTTACGGCATGAGATCAATTAGGGCAATGTGCCCCAAGCAGCTGTGTTCGTGTGCATGCGTGCATGTGTGCGTGCATGCGTGTCAAGACTCATCTCACATCATCCTTAGTGAAACATTTAGCAGTGGTATGTCAGGCCAAGTCTGTGTAAGTTCAGTGACATCGAAGTAAGTTAGTGTGAGCAAATAGGAATGTGTTTGTAAGTAATATTAGCTCATCGTTATTGCCAAAGGGTTCTTGAAGACGTGAATTTACAGGCAAGTCTAATGTCTGTGTAAGTACCACTGTATGAGCAGGTGTTTGAACGCATGGTGACATCAGAAGACGTCAGAATTTAGTAAGAGAGGTGGTTATTGGCATGCATGTCCTAAGTGTAAAAAAGAGCAATCAGAAGGGAGGCATAGTGGCCAATACCTGTAGTACAAGCACTCAGGAGAAAAGGCAGGGTTGTGGGTTTGAGGCTATCTTGGACTTCATGGTGAGTTCCAGGCTAGCCTCAGCTACCTGTTGAGACCTGTCTCCAAAAGCAAGACAAAACAACAAAAATCTAATGAAATAAGGAAATTGTACCAGGTGGTGGTGACAGGTGGTGACACAAGCCTTTAATCTCAGCACTCGGGTAGCAGAGGCAGACAGATCTCTGTGAGTTTGAGGCTGGTCCACAGAGAGAGTTCCAGGACAGCTAGGGCTGCACAGAGAAACCCTGTCTCAGGAGAGGAAAAAAATAAGTTGTCTTTGTATTGATCTGGGAAATATTATGCTATAAAATTAAATCACGGTGTGTTTATTGTTTCAGTTCTGAGGTTCTTACATCTATAGAAAATATTATTCAAGACATAATCAAAAGCTTGGCAAGAAATGAAGTGCCTGCCTTCACAATAGACAACAGATCAAGCTGGGAAAACATAATGTGGGCATTTTGCAATTTTATTTCTACATTTTAAAAAGATGTGTGTGCTTGCCTCTCTCTCTCCTGTGTGTGTGTGTGTGTGTGTGTGTGTGTGTGTGTGTGTGTGTGTGTTTATGTACCTGAATGTGCATGTGCACGTGGTTGCCCATGGAAGCCAGAAAAGGGTGACAGATTTCCTGGAGCTGGAGTTACAGATACTGTGTGCAACCTGGTATGAGAACTGAGATCTGAACTCCAGTCCTCTGTAAGAGCAGTAAGCACTCTGAACTGCCCAGCCATCTTTCCAGCCCCTGGAAGTTGTGTTTTATTATTCATTTATTTATTGAGAGGAGGTCTCACTGTAATGCCCAGCTGGCCTGGAACTCATAATGTAGACTAGGCTAACATCAAATTCACAGACATCTGCCTCCCTAGTGCTGGTATTAAAGGTATGTGCCAGGCTGGGCAGTGACAGCACATGCCTTTAATTCCAGCACTAGGGAGACAGAGGCAGGAGGATCTCTGTGAGCTTGAGGCCAGCCTGGTCTACAGAGTGAGTTTCAGGACAGCCAAGGCTGTTACACAAAGAAACCCTGTCTTGGAAAAAAAAAAAAGTATGCCTGGTCCTTGCAGTTTTATTTTAAAATGCACTATCTATGTTGTTATTTCAATTTATTTTAGAGTTATAGTCATATGTCATTCTTTTTATTCCTTTTACCTGTCCCACAAAAATTATCAGGTTTACAAAATCCACGCCCCACAGAAGGGCTGTGTGAAAGATAAGGCCAAGACGAGGCTAGCAACTAGAGCAGCTCCGAGGAAGGGATGGTTCAAAGTTTGTTTGTCCTTGCTCAAAACAGCAAGTGTAGAGCCACACTTCTAGCACTGGGGAAACACCCTGCTGTGGTTGTCTTCCACTCTGCCAAAGCAGCCATTGCTCAGACAGCTGCAGTCAGTGCTGACATGTGGACCACAGTGCGGGCATCCTGAACACAGCACAGAGATAAGGCTCCATCCTTGCCAGCTCTATGCTAGTTCTCCAGCCTAGTGACAAGGTTTGGTCTTTCCTGGCTGTGTAGCCTTTTCTACCAAACCACAGTTGGTCCTCAGACTTTGTGAAAGTTGCAGAGGAAAGGGACTAGGGAAGATCTTTTGTAAGTATTATTTTAAGATCAATATAATTAGCATAAGCTGTATACTGGGTGATGTGAAGGAAGGATTTCATGTGGCTTCAAAGCAGCTGCCATGTGGGGTGTTCTCCTGATGCCTTCTGCCACCTTTAGGAGAGCCTGGGAGGTTCACTTTAACAAACTGTTATCAGTCATTCACACAATGTCACTTTGTGGGTAGTTGAAATAAAATATTTCAAAAATTATTGTTAAATTGAACCAAATTATTAACTGAGAATGAATAATGGTAAAATGAGTAAAATATATAATAGTAAAGTATATGAGTGTTCCATATATATTGTCTTCCCAAAAAGGACTACATACACATACTGCATACTGAAAGGTGTTTGGTTTAAACCTCAGCTAGTCACCTAGCTAATTAATTGCCTGTAGCAGTTTGAGCCTTTAGGCGTTCCTAAGCTCCAGTGCCCACACAGAAAAAGTGTGGGAGATTGCTGAGTGGCTGAAGTGCTTGTTGTGGAGCGGGAATGGCTGTGTTAGGGTACCCAGCACCTTCATAAAAGCAAACTCTGGCTTATGCCTGTAACCCCAGAGACAAGTGGTTCCTTGGGGCTCACAGACACCCCCCCCTCCAGTCTGTGGTGACTGGTGAGGTTTAGGACAATGAGACAGAGATTGTCTCATAAAACAAGATGGGTAGTACCCACCTGTAGAACAATTCTCAAGGTCAAAACCTCTAGCCTCTGTCTATGTGTATGTGATATGCAGAAGGTCACACTGAGTGTGTGTCCAGGAATTAAGTCTTTCTCATTTTGTTCCTTTGTTTTGAACAAAACAACAGGTTTGAAGATTCTATTGGCCTTCAGATGATACCTCAGTGTACCACCAGAAAAATCAAAAGCGATTCACCAAAATCAGTTAAAAAGTTTGGTAAGTTATTCTTTCATGGTGTTGAGTAATTAACAATAAGTTAGTTATTTCTAGAGTTTAGCTGTTCCTAAATGGATGTCTTCACATGTTCTTTAATAGGTAACTTGTCGTTAAAATAAATTTCTAGAACTTTTCGCTGTCAGTAACATTGGGAGCACACTGCCGCTCCAAGTAAGCATGTTCTAGGTTCATGTTCAGGAAAAGTTACTTTGATTTGCTACCCTAAGAGTCCTTGACTTTCCAACTGTTCTTTACCTAATGCTTCTCTTTTGGAAAGATAATTTTTAAATCGTTATAGATAAGCAATGGGGACAATTAAAATCTTTGACGACAGTGTCTTTCAAATTAGTGTGAGAGAGAAGTAAATTGTTTCTTATGTCTTATTTTCCAGCTCTAATTCTGAAAATATTGTCCATGATTTATAAATTAGTACAGAGCAACACTTATGCAACCAAGAGGTAAATATATTGTTCTGGCAAGTTCATCTTCAAAAAATGCAGTGTGAGATTTGGTTAAATTAACTGTTTTAGTTTTAAATTTGATGTGTGGGGGTGTTTTGCCTGCATGTGTGTCTATGTGCCACTTGCCTGGTGTCTGAAGAAGCCAGAAGATGGTCTCAGTTCGCCTGGAGCTGGAGTTCCAGATATTTGTCAGCAGCCATGTGGGTGCTGGGAATTGAACCCAGGTCCTCTGGAAGATCAGCCATTGCTCTTATCTGCTGAGCCATTCCTCTAGCCCCCATTAGATTTTAAAATACACTTTGGATAGTCATGAATCCTGGAGCCCAGGTAGTAAGCAGCTCTCCTGGTACGCTGGTATGCAGTACATGTCCTCCACATAGTACTCTGCTCCTCATAGTTCAAGAACATGGCGCTCATTCACAATATCGACCTTACATTTTCATAGAGACATATACTACACTGACAGCCAGCTCTTTGGGAACCAAGCTGCAGTGGACAACATTATAGATGACATTTCCTGTATGCTGAAAGTGCCCCGGAGGAGCCTGCATGTGGTGAGCCATTCTCGGAACAAAATACTGCCACAAAACAAAATGACAGCTGCCCTTAGTTCCAGAGCTGAGGCAGAGGCAGGCAGGTCAGCGAGATCCTTGTCTGGGAGGAAAGTGTACTCTGCCCATTTTTATGTCATCTGATCATTCATTTTCTCAACATAACCTTAGTCTGTTTCCAATGTGTTCCTTTGGTCAAATGAACCTAAACAGAGACCTTTTCAGATATTTTTATTTTCTAAGTATGCTTACATGCTTTCTCTTCCATCTCTGCCTAGATTCTGGTCTAAGATAAAATACAAATATCTTAAGAGGTGAGCACGAAGAGGCTTGTAACAACAAGTATATTAATGGGAATAGTTTCAAAGATGTTATTTTTTTTCCAGTTATCTACATCCAAGGGATTGATTGCTGGCAACTTGAGATACATGGAGGAAGACGGCACCCGAGTGCAGTGCACCTGCAGTGCCACGGTGAGCATCCTTCCATCCTCCTGCTCAGTGCCACACAACCCCTTCCATTTTGAACTGGATTTCATTCCTTGCTTCGTTGTATAATTTAGAGACAAAGTAAAATTTATTTATAATTGTTGAATATGAATATGATGATGATGATGATGATGATGGTGTGTGTGTGTGTGTGTGTGTGCTCACAGGTGTATGTGTGCCACAGCACAAGTGTGGAGGTCAGAGGACCACTTTCAAAAATCACTCCTCCTTCCACTATGGGTTCCTGGGATCAAACTCTTGTCATCAGGTCTGTGTGGCAAGTACTTTTACTCACTGATCCATCTTATTGGCCCAGAGATTTTAAAATAAAACTGATGGGTGAACATGTGTGTGCTTTATGGGGTTCTATACCAAGCACACTATTTTCAAATATGCTAATTGTCATATTGAAATAAACAGACACATACTCTCTTTTACACTGTGTTGATATTTTCAACTGACTTGTGACATGGTCTTTTTGGCATGGTTATTTACGTAATCTATGAGGATTTGAAATGAACACATTTTATCCCAAACCCCTTGCAGATGTGGGTGATCTGATGCTCCCATCAGGACAGGGTACAGCCATGCTGTGGGGCCCTGCATCAAGACACTTCCCTTCACTCTGTCTGCTCCACAACCGTCCCTGCTGGGGAAGCCAAGTGGATGTGTGTCTGCTTTCCTAGGGACTGGTCTGTTCCTCACTGAGGGACAGTCTCTAGACTACCCACTGATGGACAGTCTCTAGACTACCCA